AAAGGCTGCTTCTGTTTCATGCATTTCATCTTGTTCCTTCTCTCTTTCCTAAGACTGTCTTTCTCTTCCCCATTTAATCCTCCAAGCCTTTGCCACTGAATATCACCCTACAATTTTTGCCATGGACTTTTTCCTAACTAATTCTCTTGCTCCTGGTCAGTGCATATCAGAACCTAACAACTAAGGCCTGTAGCTCCATCCACCTACTGACAACTCATCCTTGCTGGCTATGTGTGACAAATTTCTGAACTCCACTCTTCAAGACCTGGAGGATGGGGACCAGGCCATATGTATTTCTTATATCAAATAGTGCTCTCTGCTTTTCAGTCTGGCTTTTGTTGCCAATTTGATTATGCTCCAAAAGTAAGGCTATAATATTCAAACATGAAAAGAAACAGAAATCATGATGATGTGACCCTGTGCAGAAGAGCCTGAAGTTAGCATCAGGAAATCGTCATTGACCCGGTTCTCCATGAGACCCTGTCATCAAATGGCTATACAGCATGGTGTAATACCATATAGCATGGTTTAACACCAGCCCCAACTTTTAGCCGACTAGAAGGAGACTGGCCACAACACTAAGTATACCTAGTTCAATAGTTTGCACACTAAGTGGTCAGTAAGTATTTATTGAATTACAAAATTAAAAGTATAGCCTCAAGGGATATAAAATAGTACTGAATTTTGTACAACTGGGTTTTAATGGTAGCATAAGGAATAGCAAATTTAGAAGCCAAGAGCAGGTTCAAATCCTAAATCTGCAGAGTACATCAAGGCTCAGCTGTAGAAAACGATCCCTGATTGGGCAGTAACAACTTGGCTACTAACTGGAAGGTCCACAGTTGGAACCCACCATGGTCCATTCCATGGGGGGAAAAAATGAGACAATTTGCTTTTTTCAAAACTTACAAACTTGAAAACCTTATATGGTAGTTGTGCTCTGTCGTCTAGAGTTGTGACAAGTCAGAACTTGGGTTGTTTTCTTGTTTTTGTTTTTATGTTGCTGTTGTTGTTTTTCTTTTGTGACTTTAAGAAGTCACTAAACCTTATCCACAAAGTGAATGTCTTGTGTGATTGTTATTATTACTACTAGTTAAGATATATATTAGTACAGCTTAGAAAAAGCACAAATAGATGAACAGTTGATGCTGATATTATTACCACCATCAGACTTCAGCCTTTCAGACATTGGGCCAATCACATTGTTGCCTCATGGACTTCTGTTTCCTTAACTGGAAGATCAAAGGCTAAACATAGATGACCCTTAAATGGTGAAGTTCCTAGATTACTGCCATAATTCAGTTAACTAGGATTATAGTCCATATCTTGTGACTTTCAGCAAACCATTTCATCTTTCTTTGCCTGTTTTTCTCATAGGCATAATGAACATGATTCTGGGTTGGTGCTTTCGAAGTTTTATTTTTCAGCTTGAATACTTTATGAGGCTTGAGATGCTTGTAGTTGATACCAAAGAAGAGATTCAGAACCTGATTTCCATTCAGTAACAGTTGCTATTGAGTCAGTCCTAAGTCATGGTGACATACATGACATACTTGCTCCATAGGGTTTTCAGAGACTGATTATTTAGGAGTAAATCATCAGACCTTTCTTTGGAGGTCCTTCCTTCTTGATGGATTTAAACCTCTAGCCTTTCTATTACAAGTGCACTGAGTATTTGCAATACCCATATAAATCTCCCAAATGGGCAAATCAAGACTCTGTCATTGTCACTTGTCATAAAGTCAACTACAACTCATAGTGATCTTATGAACAGTGGCTCTGAACCATGCCCTGACCTGAGCCACCTCTACCGTGTCTGACAAGCTTGACCCCATTGCCACCATCACTGTGTCAAATCATCTCATCTAGGGGAGTTCGTTTCCTCTGCTGAACCTCTTCCCTTCCAAACATGATGTCCTTCTCCAAGGACTAGTCCTCCTGGAAGCATGTCCAAAGTATGTGAGTTGGAGCTTCAAAATCCTTGCCTCTCAGGAGCAATGTGGTCTACCAGGACAGACCTGTTTGTTCTCTTGGCAGTCCATGGTATATTCAATACTCCAGCACCACAGCTCAAAGCCATCAATTCTTTTTCTTTCATCTTTAGTCATTGTCCAGCTCTCAGATGCATATTAAGTGATTCAGAGGACGAAGGCCTGGAGATGGTTATAGAGCAAAGACAGCATTGAGTAGCTGGAAAGGGGTCTATGGTAGTGGATCCAAGAAAAAAAAAAAAGAGAATGGATGTTTTCATAAGTGAATGGAGCTGTGCTTCTCTAATCTGGCTGGCAATCCGTTAAGATGCAGATGCCAAATTAAAGTTTCTTCTATAAATGGAATAGTACTTTCTACTCTAAAGGGGGGAAAATGTGATTTTTGGTGAATAAAGTTAAGTTTTACTTTTAAAAAAAATGCAGATTCCAAGTTGGCAGTTGTAGAATGTAGACTGAGATGCTGCATTTCAAACAAGCTCCCAAGCCTCTCTTTCTTCCTCAACTATTCTGGGTAGATTTGGACCGCCAACTGAGAGCAAGCCATTTATAATACAGGGGCAGAAAGGGGTAAATTAAAGGTTTCAGAGAGGAAAGGGAAAGGAAGGGGAGGAGGGGAAAGGGAGTCTAGAGCCAGTCATTGAACCACACTTTAGGTAGCAAATAGGAGTGTTCTTACCCCAGTGTAATAGCTCGGACTCTTGCAGATAGGAAAGAGTGGCTGATCTCCTCTCCATGCCTTGCCCCCAAGACCCCAAAGTAAAGAATGTTTTTGCCATTGTTATTTTTCACACGGTCGGTCCTTCCCTCATCCTTACACACACACACACACACACACATTAACACACTAGCCTCTTCCCCTCATCAATACATCCACCACTGGCCTTTGCTGCAAAAGTGATTTTGGGGGGAAAGAATCTCACACCACATTTCCAGGCCCTTACTGTCTGGCCGTGACAATCCCAGAGGACTGGGAAGTGAAAAGGTCTACAGCGGTGATGTCATATCCAGGTTTTCCGACTTACATGGTAGTCTTTCCTCCCGAGTCCCGGGGGCTGGCATTTCTGTGGGCCCCTTCCCCCACCCCACATCAGAAGGGATGCCTCCGATACGGTGCTTTCCCCATCTGACCACTTACACATGTACACACACGTTCTACACACTGTCCTAGAGAAACTGGAGACAGCTCTTTCCTGTCTTCCTGAGTGAGCGCTCATTTTTCACACGACAGCCCACAGAACAAATGCTAGCGTTTGTGAAGCACACTCCACTGAGGCTGCCACTGGGACACCCTCAAGTTTTATTTTCCCTAGTCACAGCCTGCGGGAGAAGGATGGGCAGTCTCCTCCCGTATGATTAACTGCCTCTGCAAACCCGCCAGAGGGTCGGCTATGGGATGGTTCCGACTCTGCAGTACACATCAACAGTCACCCCCTAGGAGTCTTGCATCTCAAATCCACTCACAGCCCTCCCACTTGGGAAGCAGGCTCTCAAACCAAGCCACCTTCCCTTTTCTTCTTGGCCCCCTACAACCCCCTCCTTTTCACATTTCATCTCTCCCTGCTTTCTTCTTCTCAGGAACTTTTCCACCTGCCCTTTCTCTCTCCTGGGAGGTAACAGTGGTTTGTAATCTACTGACCAAAAGGAGATCAAACTCACCCCAGGACACTATGGAAGAGACCTTGACCATTTGCACTATAAAGATTCCCACCAAAAGGAGCTCAGCTCTCCCCTGGAATAGGGTCACCATGAGTTATTGACTCTATGGCAGTAGCTTCGGTTATGTTTTTTGTTTTCTCTTCCCATTTTTTTCCCATTAAGCTCTTTTCAGCTGTTCCTCACCTCCCACAGGCTCTTTTGAAGGGGTCCAAAGAGAAAATGACTTTGCTTGACTGAAAGCATTTAGATTATCGCTTTGAGCAACTAGTATGCCAAGCAATTCCCTCACTCCTCTTTCCCCCTTTAAGGTACTTACTGAGGTCACTGTCTTTTCATGTCTTTGTATTTCCCTCATGGAAATAGTCCTTTAAGGGAGAAGAGATTCAGAAAAAGGAAGAACTACTGCACTAGTCTGGGACATCTCCTTATTATCCATAATGTCTGAAAAGTGGAGATGGAGGGGCCCTTAGAGGTCATGTGACTGATAAACTTCCCTTTTTAAAAGAGTAACAAGAGATTTCTGCAGTGAATGAGAAATCTGAGTCCATCATTTAAAGTAACTTAGTAGAAAAATGTCCAAATGATCTTTTGTTTATCCCGAGAACTGGAATTTTAAAACCTCACGCCTGATTTCTCTCTCCATTTTCTATGTCTTCTCCCAGCAGATTCTGATTTTATACCTTCTAACGGGCAATCTCCTCTTGTGTGATTAACCGCCTCTGAAAAGCCACTGGAGGGTCAACTATGGGTCGGTTCTGACTCAATGGTGCACAACAACACAACAAGCTCAAGCAATTTCAGTGGCTCCCTATTTGCTCTCACTAGGAAACCAATTTCAATCCTGCTTTCAACACAGAGTGTTCCCTGCCCGCCTCAGATCTGTTCACACCCCAGTACAGCCTACTGTATTCATTCCTTCACCAACGATACTCTCTGTTTAGCATTTAATAATACATTCTTAAGTATTGTTTACTTTGGTTTAATAGAAGTTTATCTTATACCCAAAGCTCCCTAGGAATCACATCAGGTGTATTTTTCATGATAATAATCTTTATTCTTGTGTGTGTGTGAGACAGAGACAGAGACAGACAGACAGAGTTGTCCACCATTTGGAATCTGATTAAAAAACCCAAACAAACAAATAAACAACGAAACTAGACATTCTTCCTCTGGAAAATGTGCCTGTGTTTGGGATGATGACTAAAATTTCAGGGGGCTTGAGGTCTCTTTTTGCCACTAATGTCTCTAGATTCATGACACCTGATGTCACAAATAGTCCTGTTGGCTGAATGCATGCTAGGTATTGCAGGATTGCCTGTTTGATGTGTGTCTCTTTCCCTCTCTCCTCTGCAGATTGCCCTGACCTTCTCGATTGTCTTTGGGGTGATTGTATACCGGATCACAACTAAAGCTGCTCTGTCTCTCAACAAGGCCACTCGCTCTAATGTCCGAGTGACCGTGACAGCAACGGCAGTCATCATCAACCTTGTCGTCATTCTCATCCTGGACGAGATCTATGGAGCTGTAGCCAAGTGGCTCACCAAAATTGGTATTATGCCTCCAAGTCCCATATTTATCCTAGGCACTTAGAACAAGGTGGCCAGTTCAGTGTATGCAAGGTCATTGATGTTTACCAATTACCATTGATGATGACCCAAACTGAGAGAAGGGATCCTTTTTCCTATCTTAATTGGAGAAATGAGAGTATGTTGGAGCTATATAACTGTCAAAAATATCCCTTCCAGGCAGGAGTCCTTTCTGCAATGTTCTTGTTCAGTAGTCCCCTTGGCCATGTTGATTGCCATGAGAGACAGGCAACTCACAATTCCTTAAGAATAACCCATGGAATCTACTCTTTTTAGCCTAGCCTGGGTTTAAGACCGAATCAATACTTCCTGTTAAACATTGCAGCCTTTTAGCTCTGCTCATTTTCCCAGCAGCATTTATAAAGTTTAGGAAAGCCTCTTGACACATGAGCCCCAAAGGGTCTTATCTATCCCCATATTACCAGAGGCTCCAGAAAATCCACACATTCCCCATGCACTGAGCAGACTTCAAAGACGCATATCAGACTTCCCAAGCTTCAAACCAGTGAGAAAAATGCAGCGGCCTCAGTGTTCAGACGTGTCATCAGACTTGTCATTTGAGCTGCAACCTGCTGTTGCCCAAGCGCCAGTTCTGGCAGTTATGCGTATCAGGTGGGGGAGGGTGAGAGGCCAGGCCCTTTCTTCATCACACATATTCTGGGTGGCCTGCTTTGCACCCCTTTCCCTCTTTAAATTTCCATTTCCAGACCTAGGCTTAGAAATCCCAATTTCTGTCCACTCACAGAGTGGGTGGGTGAATTGATGCTGTGATATCTTTAATTCACTAACCCACTTAAATTTAGATACTTGATAGGATAAGCCCTTCCTCAAGAGAGCCTTCCCATGGGGATCAGAGTATTCCAGGAAGGAATTCTAACTATTCTTTCAATGTCTTTCCCTAGCTTTAGTCTTACTTGGACTTTATAATGGGCTTTTACCTTTGAGTTTATACAGGTGTTGCCCACTCTTCAAAGGTTCACTTCACACCATTAGGTCTTATGGAATTTTTCATAGGCGCTCCCTGCCCTTGGCTGGTGAGGAAAGCCTGTGTAAGCAGCTTCCTGTCTGTAGAGGTGGGGAAGCCCTCTCAGGGTATGTGTTTATAGGTTAGTTAGGGGTAGTACTAAGAGCTACTTGGAAAAAAATATTAGCAGGTAATTTTCATTCATTGTGTTTAGTAATGTAGGGGATCCTAGGGGAGCACTCAGGAGCCTTGGTGGCCCCGTGGTTAAGTGCTCAACTAGTAATTGCAGGTTGGCAGCCAGAACCCCATGAGCAACCCTGTGGGAGAGAAGATCTGGAGATCTTTTGATAAAGTCTACAGCCTAGACTGTGGGGCAGTTATAGGAGGTCACGACAGGCCAAAGTTGACTCAGCAGCACCAAGCAACAACTTAATGAAAGCAATTTGGGAGACAATTCAACTCTTTTTTTTAATATGTAAATTATTTCATAGCAGCATCAAGATCACATGCAAGTAAAATTTCCTGAAGATAATGCTAGAGCGGTCTCAAAAATACACCAAAAGAGAATATCAGACATTCAAATAAAATCCAGAAAAACATTCATTGTTTTTTATCAGATGAATCTCAGCCAAGAGCACATCTTTCGCTTTATTGACTGTGCGTTTGACTGTGGGATCACAACAAGTTGTTTTTAATCGAGATTTTATTGTAAATTTATAAAGAACTTGGATTTCCATTCATTCATTGTTGTACATTTTCCTCCATGCCGCCCCTCCCTCCCCAGTACATTTTTTTCTTAAAAAAAAAAAATTCTTTCATTTTTATACAGTCCACCCCTACAGACCAACTATTAGGGGCTCAGGTGAGGCTTCTAGGAAGTCAAGGCATTTAATCTGACTGAGATCTCATCAGTGGCAGTCAGACAATCACCTGTGTGAGGAGGAAGTAGAAACAGGAAGAGATGGTTCCTGGGAGAGGAATGATAACTGGGCACTGAAGGGAAAGATAATCTACTGGGAACATGAAGGGAATACTGAAAGGACAGGTGGCCTGGGCTCGGATTAATGGGAAGAAGAATCGGGGTAGATCTTGGCATTACAGAGCATGTCCAAGCTTCAGAGGTACCCAGCTTGGCGGTTGCTCTAAGATCTATTGCATGTCCGGGGCACAGGGTGGAGGGAAACTGAACTCAAAGAGTTGGTCAATACCTGTCTCTTACCAGAAAGCCTTGAGTGCTACACTAAGGGTATTTTTCCCCCCTTTCACTAGCAGTTCATGGTCCCACTGGAGTTCAGAGGGGTACACAAAAGCCATTGCCCATCTTCCTGGCCTGATGTCTGAACCATCAGAGCAATAAGACAAAGATCAAACTCATTATTGTCAAGTCATTCCTATTTACAGACATCTATAATATGGACTTGAACTTCCTTTTCTAAACTCACCAATGAGATTAGCTGTTCCTCCTCCTCTCATCCAAGAGAATGCAGTGAGGTGGGGTGAATAGGGCAGTGTGGTTAGTTCTTTCTACATGGGACACATGCCACATCGCTCATCTTTGCCCCAGAGTAGGACCTATACTAGCATTTGAGGCTCCCGACCAGCTGCTTCCCGCTGTTCTCTTCCACCCTCGCTGACCCAGTCAGCTCCCAGTCACCTGATAGCTCCCTGTCTCCTTCAGGGCCTGTGAGTGCTGCTAAGCGACACTCAGAAGGCCTCTCTTTGAAGCTCCTCTCCAGGTTTGCCTCCTTCACGAGGCCTGGGTTGGACTCAGCCCTCAATGACTTTTCTTCCATTTCTGAACCCCCCTAGCACAAATCCACTCATTTGTTTATCCATCAGATGTTTATTGAGTGGCTACTTTGAGCCAGTCACAATTCAAGGAACCTCAGAGTAAACAAGAATGACAGCCTCTGTTTTCACTTATCCTTGCAGACTAATGAGGGGGAAAACCCCAAATCATTGCTATTGAGTCAGAACTGACTCATAACTGACCCTCCAGTGGTTTTTAAAAAGCTGTTAGTGACACTGGAAGAGATTGCCCATCTCTCTCCCACTAAGCAACTGAAGGATTTGAACAACCTGCCTTTGGGGTGGCCGCATGACTGCTTACCCACTAGGCCACCAGAGCTCAATGAGGGAAAGATGAACAAGAATGAAAATAATTTCTTAGGGTGTAAGAAAGTAGGATGCAGTGATGTAGTAAGACAGTGATTTGGGCTTGTGCACTTAGTTAGGGAGTCAAAAAAGGCCTTTCTGGGATGGACATAATGCAGCCTCAATAATAAAATAGAACAAGACCAACCTCATCAAGAAGTAGAGAAAGAGCTCTAGGGAGAGAGCACAGCATCAGCAAAGCTGTGAAGTGGAAGTAAGCTTGGGATGTATTGTCTGTATTGAGTGGATGTGTGTGACACAGTCTCATGTTACTGCTGATATTGAATGTGTGCTTCTTACTATTTGAGTAGGCTAGACTGTTCTGTGGTAATAAACTCACCTTAAAATCCCAGTTACAAAACACAGAGTGAGGATTTTGTTGTTGATTTTTTACTGATGTTGTGTTGAGTGTAAATTTGCAAGGGTCTTTTCTTCATACAGTTGCTCAGTCACTCAGACTGATAAAGTCTCCAAGAACATTGGAGAGTCTCATAAACCACACCAAGCCAAAGCCATTGCTCTGGAGTCAATTCCTAGTCATAGTGAGCCTGTGCGATGGGATGGAACTGGCCCACAGGATAGCCAAGGCTGAAATCTTTATAGAAGCAGACTTCCACAGCTTACTCCTATAGGGTGGCTGGTGGGTTTGAACTATTAATTTTTCAGTGAACAGTTTAGCCTTTTAAACCACTGTACTGCTAGGGCTTCTTAGAGGATATCAGTTGCTTCAGTTTGGAAATGCCATCCTCAATTGTACTCACAGCTCAATGGCTAGAATCAGCCTAATTATAAATAAATTGGAAAATACATGAACAATTATGAGCAGGAAAGGTCTGTCTGCAACTTACTTAACCAGACTGCAAGGTCCTTGAGAGCAACTCTGTCTATTTTTGCTCTGATTAGCACTTGGTTCATAGTAAATTTTTAGTACATGATTCTTGATGCAATTATCAAAGAAATAATTTCTCTGTGGATAAGAAATACATTGCTCTATGGTTGGTGCTGTCTACAATAGAGGAGTGTATTGAAGCTGTTCAAATTCACCACTACTTCTTGGGAGAAAGATGAGCACTCTCCTCTCATGTGATTTACAGTCTCTGAAAACCTACTAGAGGGTCTGCGATGAGTTGGTTCCAGCTTGATGGCAATGAGAGTGAGTGAGTGATTCATAAAAACTAATGTTAGCACAGGCATCCTGGATCCAGCCCTGGTAGAGGATACAGTGGTCATTTATGTGTTCATTATTCCAACTGTCTGCCTACGAAATTATTTAGGAAACTATTGGCAGCATTAGGGTGGATGGTGAAGAGATTGAGATTATTCACAGCTTTAGTGTGCTTGGCTCCACAGTCAACACTCTTGGCACCAGTAGCCAGGAAATTAAAAGATGTATTGTGATGGGAAAGTCTGCTGTTAGGGACCTCTCCAAAGTACTGAAGAGCAATGGTGTCTCTCTGGAGACTAGGTGTGTCTGATACAGGCCATGGTCTTTGCAATCACTTGTTATGCATCAGAGAGTTGGGCAGTGAGTAGGGAGGATAGAAGGAGAATTGATGCCTTTGAGCTGTGGTGCTGGAGAAGAGTATTGAATGTATGGACTGCTAAGAAAACAAACAGATTCATCCTGGAGAGGGTTAAACTGGGCTGCTCCTTGGAGTCAAGGATTCTGGGGCTTCGTCTGGCATACATTGGACATGTTGTAAGGAGGAACCCGGTCCTTGGAGAAGGATATCATGCTTGGGAGGGTGGTGGGACAACACAGGAGGGGAAGACCCTCTATGAGGTAGATTGATTCAGTGACTGGGGTAATCGGGATGGGTGTGTCAGAGACAGTGCGATTGGCAC